CGCGTATTCGCCATCTAATCCCCCAATCCTCCATCTAGCAGCGCGTTATCTCCATCTATCCTCCAATCGTTGCTCTATAGCGCCGTATACTCCATCTATGCCCCCATCTTGCATCGTATTTTAGCGCGTATGCTCCATCTAATCCTCCCATCCTCCATGTCTATAGCCCGGTATTCTCCTCTTTCCCCTATCCTGCATCTATAGCCGCGTATCTTCCATCGTAATCCTATCCTCCATCGTATGAGCGTGGTATCTCCATCTATTCCTCCCCGTACCTGCGCGCATCTATAGCCGTGTATCTCGCATCTATCCCCCCATCCTGCAGTCTATAGGCGCGTATACTCCATCTATTCCCCCATCCTGCATCAATAGCGCGTCATCTCCATCGTATCCTTATCCTGCATCTATAGCGGTGTATCTGCCATCTATTCCCTATCCTCTCATCGGTATAAGCGTCGAATCTCATCATTATCCTCCCAGTCCTGGCAGGCTCTAGTGAGCGGTCGATCTCATTATCCCCTATCCTCGACTCACTCTATAGCGGTATCTCCATTTTATCCCCTTATCGCTCTGCACTCTATAGCCGCCGTATCTCCAGTCTACTCCCCTACTTCTGCTGCCATCTAGTAGCGTGTACTCTCCAGTCTAGTCCCTCTATCCTCATACACCTTTAGCTGCCGTATCTCCATTCCCACTCCCCCATACCTGCCATCCTAGTAGCGTGTTATCCTCCATCTATTCCGCCAATCCCTGTATGCTCTCAGTGCGGCACACCGGTGGCGTAGTATGTGCCGGTGTCTTGTATGCGTCGGCACGTATGCGGGGTCAAGTATGCTTCTGCATTCTCTTGCAGCATTGCGGCTCTGGAGAGGCTTTCACCCGTCTGTGGGCCTGCTCGCTGGAGAGGCTGAGAGAGAGAAGGGTGCGGCTGAGAGCAGGCCACAGGAAGCTGGCTGCAGTAACCGTGCGCAGAAGGTGCTGAGCGACGTGCTCTACTGGATTCACCGACAAGGTACGCGCCGCCCGTGCGGTCCGCGGCCCCGGCTGGGTCGTACCAGCGACCAGCGGGCGGCTGTCGCTCACACGAGCTGATGCCGGTGTGACACATTGATTCAATTATTGATTTGATTCAGTCGCCAAGTCAGCAGGTAATGTAACCACATGTTATAGTATGTCTATATATATGTGTGGTGTTATATATATATAATATACGCTCATGGAAGCAGGTTTAACATTACCTGTTTTCTGAATGAGTAGCTGCTTATTTGCTAAGGGGCTAGCAATGTGCAGACAGGTGGTAAAGGTGCACATAGTTTAGCATGGGCAAAAATGTATGGTTGTAGATCGCGACCCGGTATGTAGTACATACGCAATGCTAACATTTGGCGCGCGTGGTCGTTGCAGGAGGCATACGTGACGGCCGAGAGGCATTTGGAGTCGATGCTGGAGCACTGTCGAGATAGATGCAGAAGAAGTTCGACGACTTCGCAGAAGGACCTGAGTCACACACGAAGGGAGCCGCGATGAAGCGAGCGTGAACCAGACCCGTGCGAAGGAAGGCCGATGATCCAGGAGGGACCCCGGAGGGTGATGACCATCAACAACAGAGAAGCAGGTGAGTGGGAAGCCGGGCGGCGCGAGTAGGAGCTCGCGGGCGCGGCGATTATCATTAGCATTTTTCGTGGTTAGCGTGGTTGAGAGGAATTACGTGATGATTCAACAGCAGAGGATTCACCCTGATGCATGTCGCGAATAGAGGCGAACCAGATTAGTCGCCCTTCTCAGATTCCCCATTAAATTACACGTCTGCTACGTGTCGCTTCTGTCTTCCGCTAACATAAATAGGCATTGGCAATGTTTTGCGCTCTGCCGGGACAGGGATGCCAACTTGCGCTTGATGCAACTTGATTTGGTTTTACCAGCCGTTTTCCGGGTTATGTTAGCAGCACAGCTGGTTGTGGCTGTCTCGCCCCTGTAGCGGACAATAGTCGGTGAACCGAAGAAAGGGCGATGTCATGGACGACGACACGCTAATTCATAGCCAGCCGACGTTAGTTTGTGAATGCGTGAGGGAGAGCCCACAGTCCTGAAAGATGCGTTTCGGGTGGGAGGGGGGGCGGTGTGCATATTCAGTCACCGTATCTTCGGGCGTTGATCTGGCAGTCCAATATTGCGTGACCTGTACGCTGTGAATTGCAGACAACCAGATTAAGCTTTTGCTGTTTCCAGATTTCCGGAAGGCAAGCTTTCTTTGGGTTACTCTGGCCTTGACCACTGGTGCAATTTAGAGTAGCATGGCTAAACCATAATTCGTTTAATAAGCGTGATTGCTGGTGCGTGCGTATTGTATCAAGCAAGTGTTCAACGGGTCACGCAGGACATCCGTACCGTAAACTTGCCCATCTTTCTAGTTACGGTCACAGTCGCTATCTTAGCAGTTGGGTGATATTAATATGGACAGTAGCTAGCGATAGAATGTCGTAAGGAAGTCTGGGGTGGGATGTCTGGCATGTGGTACTGTCTTAAGGGGTTCTGGAGGTGGTGGCTGAATCATACATAGTACCATACCCAGTGTCACAATCGAAAAACTAAGGTTAAAAGTCACAATTCACAACAGCAGGATTTTTACTCTTACTCTTCATGAAATTCGAACCGACTGTATATTGTGTACAATGACAGACATTTTTTTTTCAATCGAATAACGGTAAATTTATGAAATTTCGCCCAAATATGACAGCGCCCAAATACTCACGAGGTGAATGTTTTCACGCGAAAATAAAGTTTTCGGATCATTAGTTCCGTATCCCTGTTGTGTATCTCAGGAGACAGCGATTAGTGTAACGCGCACGCCGTGTTCTCCTCTAGGACTCAGTGAACGTTATCGCTGGCAGAGACTGAAGCAGCTGTCGCACTTCTCCTCGCCAAGAGCGCTGTTCGGCGGCACGAGATCCAGCGCTTCAACCGCAGGGACGCCGACGAAAACGATCGCGTGGAATCAACGAGACAGGACGCGCATCTTGTCGTCGGACGCTTTGGTACGAGAACCTCGGCGGCGTGCAGGGCGGCTGCAGGCGGTAAAACACGGAGGCCGATCAGAGCGCGACCTCGCTGGCGTCTGGGGGACAAGGTGCGTTGCTGCGGTCTGCCGCCGCCGCGTCGTTTAGCCTGCAGTACGTAAGGCAGAATCTACATAGCCTGTTACATAATCGGGCTATAGATGCAGGATAGGGGATAGATGGAGATACGCGCTATAGATGCAGGATAGGGGATAGATGGAGATACGCGCTATACGGGGGCCTGGGCCGTCTCTACAGGAAGTTGCAGGTAATTAATTTTGCATTAACTTTAGTGACACGTAACCTTTTTGCTTAACTCAGTTGTCGACAAAGCAACGACACACTTTTAACATTAGAAGGTCCTCGTAAACTAATCAGCTGCACTGATCACTCGCACTCATTAGCACAGAAAATATTGTTCGAGGGTTATACTGCGTGCGCATTTTCCTACACAACACCCATTCCTAATCCATTAACGCTGAATACCCGGCTACTAACAAAATAAGATTCCGCATGCTTCGCCTGTGCTAGTCTTCATGGAAAGTCTTCACGGCATTCACAAGATGCGTATATATACATTACGAGATTAAGGGATAGTAAATTCCCACAGGTGGTTTCAGTTGAGTCTCATGGCTTATAGATGCACTACTTAGTAACTAGTGATCAAATGTAAGCGCTCTTTCTCAACACCTCGTCTACAAGGTCCTCTTACACGAATTACATCGTTGTCAGCAATTCGTTACACATTTATGTGAGAATATCCGTTTACGGCAAGAACACCAAACAGGGAGGAAGATCTCAGAGTAATTTTATCGACAAAGTAACATAATACGGGGAACGACCCTCAAAATCATTTCATTGACAACATAACACAACAAAGAGGGCACACCTCAGAATAACGTTCTCGCCAACGCAACATTATACATAGAGGGAAGGGGAAGAACGCAAAATAATTTCTACGACAAATGTAAGCTTAAAAAAATCTTTTTAAATTAAATTAAAATGAATCGAGAGGAAGCTGTGTGATCGATAACGTCGACGTACCTTGATCACGTCGGATGCGAAGTGAGCGTTGTTGATCATCTCCATGCCGGTGCTGTCGAGCACAGTTATGGCGTTACTGTGCGCGGCAACCTCGGCTTCGAACGCCTGGTGCTTCTGGATCTTCGCCTGCAACGGCCAGCGAGATGACGCATTAACACCGCGTGCGCTGGAGGCCTTCACAGCACAGCATACAGTACCACACCCTAACCCTATCCCATCCCTATGCTAGGCCGTAACACCACCCAGCACACAGTAACACACCCTAACCCTAACCCATCCCCATGCTAGGCCGTAACACCACCCAGCACACAGTACCACACCCTCACCCTATCCCATCCCTATGCTAGGCCGTAACACCACCAAGCATGCAGTACCACACCCTAACCCTCACCCATCCCCATGCTAGGCCTTAACACCACCCAGCACACAGTACCACACCCTAACCCTAACCCATCCTCATGCTAGGCCTCAACACCACCCAGCACACAGTACCACACCCTAACCCTAACCCATCCCCATGCTAGGCCGTAACACCACCCAGCACACAGTACCACACCCTAACCCTAACCCATCCTCATGCTAGGCTTTAACACCACCCAGCACACAGTAACACACCCTAACCCTATCCCATCCCTATGCCAGGCCGTAACACCACCCAGCACACAGTACCACACCCTCACCCTAACCCATCCCCATGATAGGCCTTAACACCACCCAGCACACAGTACCACACCCTAACCCTAACCCATCCCCATGCTAGGCTTTAACACCACCCAGCACACAGTACCACACCCTAACCATAACCCATCCCCATGCTAGGCCTTAACACCACCCAGCACACAGTACCACACCCTAACCATAACCCATCCCCATGCTAGGCCTCAACACCACCCAGCACACAGTACCACACCCTCACCCTAACCCATCCTCATGCTAGGCCTTAACACCACCCCACACATAGTACCACACCCTAACCCTAACCCATCCCCATGATAGGCCGTAACACCACCCAGCACACAGTACCACACCCTCACCCTAACTCATCCTCATGCTAGGCCTTAACACCACCCCACACATAGTACCACACCCTAACCCTAAC